GATTTCTCTCATCAGTTAATACTCCCATCAAACACAGAACAATTCTTTCTTTGCTCAGGTAAACTACTGGCCACAAAGCACTGTATGAGCTCTCAGAGCTATTATTCACACCTCTAAGTAGTACTATCACTGAGCACTGACATTTCTACAAGAAACCTTTCCTGCCAAAACAATCACCCAACATATTTCCTATAGAAATTCTGACTTCTCATTTAAATTTCCAGCAGTAAAAATCGATCAAGTTTCTAAAATGCCTGTGTTGGCCCCTCTGTAATCCTTACTATGAAAACACACATGTAATAATAGTAATTAACCCTCCAAACAAGGATGCTTTGAGGCTATTTGGTTAAGCGACCTTAGGCCAAAAGCTAACCAACCTTTTATCACCATCTTTAAAACATTCTGGAGTGTTTAAAAGCCAGTATCAGAATTCAGTTCTGGTTTTGCAGGTTATGTATTGCATGATTTCAACAGGTTCCTCTCAAGCGGCAGTAACATAAAGATTACGCTTATTTTCAAGTAGAAGTTAACATTTCAGCTGGCACAGCTGAACGGCTGACAGTGTTCAGCCTGTTGCGCGGAGAAGCCTGAAAAAGAGCCTGTGTTTTATACCCGAGCGTGACACAGTGAATTCTGGTCATTAAACTGATATCTGATGGGTGGCATCAGGCAGTGCCCTGAGAACCACCGGCCTCGCCGTGCTGCGCTGGGGAGGAGATGGGGGCCACACCGGCAATACCATGGGCATCGTTACCTAAAACAACGTCCACACCGCGGACCTTCGGGACGTGGAGGGGAAAGAAAACTCCGGGCTTCGGTCCCTGGTGAGACGGGGCCGGGCTGCCCCCACCTCAGAGCCTGCCCGGGTGCAATCCCCACCGGGAGAGGCGGGGGGGACGCTCACCACCACAGACACCCCCGCCGGTGGCTCCCAAGGCGGCCCGGGGAAGTTACCGATATTTTTTAAGTCAAGTTTGCGGGAAGTGGCTCACGGCAGGAGGCGGGAAGGCGAGGGGGGGGACACCGCCCCGCCGGTGTGGGGCACTGCCTGCACCCCCCGGGCCGCGCACCGGCTGCCCGACCCCCCGAAAGGAGAGACGCCCTGAAGCAAAGCGCTCCTGAGGGATAGGGCCGCGGGCACCCTCGGCAACCAGCGAGCACCGCTCCAGCCCCCGTCTCCCTCCCGCGGGCAAGCTCTCGCCCGGCCCGGGCGGCCCCGGCCCACACTGCGCCCCCGCCCCTGACCCACTAACACACCTCCCAGCCAACATGGCCGCCCCGCCAGCCAGCGCGGAGCGCAGCCTAGCCCGGCCACCGCCTCCCCGCCCCGCCCTCCCCGCCCGCTCAATGGCTCGCTCCTCAGCCCCGCGCGCTCCCATTGGCCACCGCCCACGCCGCTCACCCGCCCAGCGGTCCTTTCAAGCTAGGGTGAGGCGACATGTAAACAAACCCCCTTCCGCCGCTCCGGGGGG